TGGTGTGCCCCATGCGCAGAGACACTCGGTCTGCTTCGCCTTCGACTTTTCGTTCCTCGCGTTGGGCGGGCCTCAAACATGTGAGAGCGATTCTCCTGCTCCTCTCCCTCCCTGCTTCGCGCCTGCCTGACGGCCGTCTGTCTCACACAACGGCATAGTTACCTAATTCGTGCGCTGTGCATCCGGTCCTCTTGGGCAGGAGACACACGTCTCAGTTGTACACAGCGGGGCTGCGAACTTGACGCCCGTCGCTCAGCCTGTTGGCTTACTCCAGCCAGTGAGAAGGAGGAGACAGAACGCATCCCGAAGCGTCGACGGAGGGCAGAAGATACTGACCGAGGACTTCCGAGAGGAGAACGGCGTTGACCGAGGACCTCCGAAACGCATCGTGTGCAGTCGAGCAAAGTCAGCAGGCCTAGTCCGAACGGACTGGCTGCCTGCGGGGCCGCTACGCTGTCGCGGGGACTGCCTGCCTGGACTGCCCCGCGAGGCGGGCCGGTGCGGATTGCCCCAGCGGCTCCGAGGGTGGCGATGGGGAGTAATCAAAGCAGGGGGACGGGTGCACAACCAGCCGGGGGTGCGAGGGCGAGCACGGAGAGGAACGGGGACATAAGGGTACGGGCAGTGAGCAGTGTGTGTGTGTGTGTGAACACTACGAACAGCAAGCGCGAAACCCACTGCATCGTGTGCGGGGGAGGGGGAGGGGTAGTGGGAGGAGGAGGATGAGGAGGAGGAGGAGGAGGAGGAGGGAGGAGGAGGAGGAGGGAGGAGGAGGAGGGAGGAGGACGAGGAGAGGAGGAGGAGGAGAGGAGGAGGAGGAGGAGGAGGGAGGAGGAGGAGGAGGAGGAGGAGGAGGATTAGGAGGAGAGGAGGATGAGGAGGAGAGAGGAGGAGGAGGAGGAGGGATGGAGGAGCAGGAGCAGGAGGAGGAGGAGGAGGGGCGGAGGAGGAGGGGAGGAGGAGGAGGAGAAGGAGGAGGAGGAGGAGGGGAGGAGACGGAGGAGGAGCGGAGGAGGCGGAGGAGGCTGAGGAGGAGGGAGGCGGAGGAGGCGGAGGAGGCGGAGGAGGCGGAGGAGGAGGAGGAGGCAGAGGAGGCGGAGGAGGCGGAGGAGGAGGATGATGAGGAGGAGGAGGAGGAGGAGCAGGAGGAGGAGGAGGAGGAGGAGGCGGATGAGGTGGAAGAGGCGGGGGTGGTTGGAGGAAGCGGAGGAGGGGGGAGGGAGGCTGGAGGAGGGGCGTGGAGGGAGGGAGGTGGAGGAGGGAGGGGGGGGGGCAGGAGGGAGGAGGGAAGAAGAGGAAGGAGGAGGAAGTTCGGCGCGGTTCGGCCGCCCGCGAGAGCAGGAGGCACGGCCTCGGGGCAGCCCGGGGAGTGCCGCAGCAGCCACTGGTGCCCGACTGTCGAGGGCGCCCTCCCTGCGGCCTGATTTCCTGCTCCCGAGAGCACATCTCTAAAAGCGGTGGGCAGGGGAAGCACGCGCCGCAGGCGGGGGACAGGTAATCTCATCGAGAGAGGGAGAGAGAGAGAGAGAAAGATATGAGAGAGAGAGAGAGAGATAGAGGAATATATTCACATACATACAGCATACATACATATATGCACATACATATATAGCTTACACATACACGTACAGAGAGAGAGAGAGAGAGAGAGAGAGAGACAGAGAGGAGTGACACACACACACACACACGCACACACGCACACGCACACGCACACTTTTCCGCGTCGGCGGCCAGGCAGAGTGACTGCCCTGGCGGCAGAAGCGTCGCGTGGTGCACGGAGCGCGAATCTGGCCGCCGCGCAATGGGGGAGGGGGCAGGAGGCGCCCGGCGGCGGCGGGGGGCGGAGGGAGGAGCTGGGCCCGCTCACAGCGGGGCCCCGCGCGTGGCCGGGGCGGCGCCACGGGGGGAGCCGGCAGCGGCGGGCCGTCAGCTGGCTCGGGGGCCGGGGACGCCCTCCGGGGCAGCGTGCCGTTGCGGAGAGCAGGGGACAGAGAGTCACGCACGCACGCATACACACAAGTGTTTGCGCACAGCCACAAGCACAATCACACGCACAGCCACAGCACAGACGCAAACACACATAACCACAGCCACAAGCGCGGCACGCACTCGAAACGACCAACACGCACACACACAGCATACGCAAACGCAGCCACACACATGCAAACGCGCACGCACACGCTGACACAAACCACACACGCACACACCACGCGCCACACACACACACCACACACACGCACACACGCACACACGCACACACGCACACACGCAGACACGCACACACGCACACACGCACACACGCATACACCCCCTCACACACCACACACAACGCACCACCACACACAACACACCACACACAGTGACACACCACACACACCACACACACCACACACACACACACTACACACATCACACACACACACACTACACACATCACACACACACGCACTACACACATCACACACCATACACACCACATACACACACGCACGCACGCACGCACACGCACACATCAACACACAAACACACAAACACACACAAAGACACAAAGGCAAAAAACAACAAGACTCAAAGACAGCACAACTACACAAACACACAAACTCACAAACACGCGCACACGCGCACACGCGCACACGCGCACACGCGCGCACGCGCACACGCGCACACGCGCACACATGCACACAAGCACACAAGCACACAAGCATACAAGCAGACAAGCACACGAACACACACAAAGGCGCACACGCACACACGCACACAATTACACACGCACGCAAGCGCACAAGCACAGAAGCACACAAGCACACAAGCACACAAGCACACAAGCGCACAAGCACACAATCACGCAAACACACAAGCACACAAGCACACAAGCGCGCAAGCACACAAGCACACAAAAAACACAAACACAAAAGCACACGAACACACAATCACACAAGCGCACAAGCACACAATCAAACAAGCACACAAGCACGTAATCACTCAAGCACACATGCACACAAGCGCACAAACACACATAGACAATCATACAAGCATATAAGCACACAAACACACAAACACACAAGCACACAAACACACAAACACACAAGCACACAAGCACACGCACGCAAGCACACAGGCACACAAGCACACGAACACACAAGCACACAAGCACACGAAAACACGCACACACGAACACACAAACACACGAACACACGAACACACGAGCACACAACCACTACATCACACAAACACACAAACACACACAAACACGCAAACACGCAAACACACAAACACACACAAAGCCAAGCACACACACTCACACTTGCACAACTACACAAATACCCAACCATACAACCACAACACCACACAACACCACAAACACACAAACACACAAACACAGCACACACTACCACACATTAACACAACCACACAACCACACAACCACACACAGGCACACAAGCACACACACGGACACACTTACGCAACCACGCACCACACAACACAAACACACACACACATTCAAGCAACCACAAAAACACACAAGCACACAACGACACAAGCACACACTCAGAAGCACGCAAACATACAAACACACAAACACACAAACTGACACACATTCAAGAACACACAACCACACAAACACACACATAAACACACACACACCGACACACAGACACACACACACACTCACACACTCACACATACACAAACACGTACACACAAACACGCAAACGCACACACATGCAACCGCACACTCACACAAACACACAACCACACACATAAGCACACAGCCACAAAACCACACAACCACACAACCACACAAACACACAAACACACAACCATACAAACACACACACGACGACACAACAACACACACACACAAAAACACACATACACACAGACACACACACACACGCACACACACACCCAAATGCACAACTGCACAAACACACAAACACAAAAAAACACAAACATATAACCACACAACCACGCAAACACATACACACACAACCACACAAACGCACGCACACACACACACTTCTGGCGTCGGCGACTAGGCAGAGTGACTGCGCTGGCGGGAGGGCAACAGTCAAACACGCAAACACACAAACACACAAGCACACAACCACAAACACGCAAACACACAACCACACAAACACACACACACAAACGTACAAACACACAAACACACAAACACACAAACACAGCCACACAAGCACACAGCCACACAAACACACACACACATACAGAAACACACAACCACACAAACACACAACTATACAACCATACACACAAAACATCCACAACCAAACAAGCACACCCACAAACACAGAAGCACACAAACACGCAAACACACAAACACACAAACACACAACCACACTCAACTGCACAACTACACAATCACACACACAGGCACACACGCCACACACAAACGCACATACAACACACAACCACACAAGCACACAACACACACAAACACAAACACACACACACATTCACAACTACACACAGTACAAACACACAAGCACATACACACAAGTACACAAGCACACAAACTCATCAAAACACAGCCACACAACCACACAAACACACAAACACAGACACAAACACAACGACACACAATCACAAACACACAAACACACGGACAAACGGACACACTGACACACGGACACACGCACACACGCACACGCACACACGCACACACGCGCACACACACACACACACTCGCGAGGCTTCCGAGGGCCATCACATGCCAGTGACAGACGTTGGACGAGGGACGAGGAGGAGGGGGGGAGGGGGAGGGGGTTTTAGTGCATGGGCATGGAGTAGCGAGGGGAAAGGAGGAGTCGGAGGAGGATTAGCATGATGATGATGACGATGATGATGATGATGATGATGATGATGATGATGATGATGATGATGATGATGAGGAGGAGGAGGAGGAGGAGGAGGAGGAGGAGGAGGAGGAGCAGGAGGAGCAGGAGGTGGACGAGGAGATGGAGGAGGTGGAGGAGGAGGAGGAGGAAGGGCGAGGAAATCTGGCCACGTGCCGCCAGCTCGGGACTGGCAGGCTTTCATTCTGATTGTGTCACTGCTCAGCCGCCCTCGCCTCGGCGCCGCGCAGGGCGCCGCGATGCCGCCGCCCGCCTCCAGTCTGACAGGAGCCTACGAGCAGCAGAAGGTGGAGTCCCCGCCGTCCCGTTGTCCCTCTCCCCGTGCCGCAGGGACCGCCACAGCGGCGGGGTTCGGGGGCATCGCTCCCCGCCCGCTTTTCTTGCGTTTGAACTATGGAGCTGCTATGCGCTTTCTCTCTGCCTCTCCTTCTCTCTCTCTCTCGCCCTTTCTCTTCTTTTGTCTCCTCCTCCTCCTCCTCCTCTCCCTTCGTCTCCTCCTTACCGCCCCCAATCCTCCGCATTGCCAGCAAGGTCTGCTTCATTATTCTCTTTCTTTTCCTCCTTTTCCGTCGTCTCCTCCTCGTTCTCCTCTTCCTTCGTCTCCCCCTCCCCCTCATCCTCTTCCCTCGTCTCTCCTTCGCATTTTCCGTCGCTGGTTTATTCTAGAGGCGTGCCAGAGGAATCCGAGGAGCAGGGGGAGGGAGAGGTTGATGAGTCACTCCGCCGTCCTCCATCCACCTCATCCTCCAAAGTCCCATCCTCCTTCCTGCACTCCTTCTACACATGCATCCCTTTTGTGAGGGCGTTGCACATCTATTCCCTTTGTGGAAGAGTTGCCCATCGACGGATGCCCTATGTGGGCGGTGCGGAAAAGCAACAACAACAACATTCGCACAAACCAAACAAGTCAAAGAAACCACAGACCCAGGATCGACCCTCAACAACAAACACACCACATATTGCAATACACTTGCGGGCCTCAGGTCGGTTTTCCACATGCGGCCGCCCGACTCATTTGGGCACACTCCTCACTCGTAGCTCCCTTGGTGGGCTCCACCTAAGACTCCAGGGGCTGTCCCACATGCGGCCGCCCCACCCATTTCGGCACACATCTCATACGTTTCGTGGCCCCACAGGGAGCTCCACCTAATGCCCGCGTGTGAGTGTGTGTGTGTGTGTGCACCCCATGCGGCCGCCCGGCCCATGTCGGCACTCCCCTCACACGTTTCGTGGCCCCATAGGGAGTTCCACCGAAGGCCATAGGGTGTACCACATGCGGCGGCCCAACCCATTTCGGCACACCCCTTCAAAAGTTTCGTAGCCCCATAAAGGGGCTCCACCTAAGTAAGGCCCCAGGGGGTGTACCACATGCGGCCGCCCTACCCATGTCGGCACACCCCTCAATGTTTCGTGGCCCTATAGGCCACCGAAGGCCCCAGAGGGGCTGTACCTTGTACGGCCACCCCACCCATGCCGGCACACCCACCACACGCTTCGTGGCCGCATATGGGAGCTCCACCGAAGGCCCCAGGGGAGTGTACCACATGCGGCCGCCCCGCCCATTTCGGCACACCCCTTCAAACGTTTCGTGGCCCCGTAAAGGAGCTCCGCCTAAGGCCCCAAGGGGCTGTACCACATGCGGCCGTCTCACCCTTCTCGGCACGCCCCTCGCGCGTGTCGTGCCCCGGCGAGGCTCCGCCGACGTCCCCCGTGGTGGTGTCCACAGGCGGCCGCCCCACGCATTTCGGCACTTCCCTCCTCATACGTATCGTGGCCCCGCAGGGAGTTCCACCGACGGCCCATGCGGCCGCCCGACCCACTTCGGCACACCCTTCACACGTTCCGTAACCCCATAGTGAGCCCCACCCGAGGCCCCAGCGGGGTGCACCACATGCGGCCGCCCGACCAACTTCGGCACACCCTCGCACGCTTCGTGGCCCCATGGGGAGCTCCACCGGATGCCCCAAAGGGCGGCCGCCCCACCCATGTTGGCACACAACTCGCATGTTTCGTGGCCCCCCAGGGAGCTCCACCGAAGGCCTCAGTGCCAGGGCCCGCCTGCACCGGCTCGTTGGTTGTCTCATGGGGGGCTCCATCGACGGCCCCAGTGTTAGCGCCCGCATGGCGGCCCCGCCCCAATTCGGCACACCCCTCACACGCTTCGTTCGTGGCCCCATGAAGGAGGGCTCTACCTAAAGCCTCAGTTGCAGGTCCTTTGCGCGCTTCGTGGCCCCGCCAGGGGATCCACCGAGAGCGATACTCACAACGACGGTTGTCGCAACTGCACATGTTTGGGTCCTTCGCCAGGCTGATGTTGGCTGTCCCTTGTGTTTTTTGGGTCCTCCACCGCCCACAGCAGGCATCCGATGGATAACTCCTCCACACATACATTTATTTGTAACGCCCTCACGAGGGAATGCATGTGTAGATCCCTCACAGAAGGAGTGCATGGATGAGGATGGGACTTTGGAGGATGCGGAGGATGAGGGGCAGAGGGGTGGATGAGGATGGATGGGGGAGTGACTCCTCAACCTTCCCCTCCTCCTGCTCCTCGGACTCCCCTGGCACGCCTTTGGAATGAGGAAGCGACGGAAGAGGCTAATGAGGAGACGAGAGAAGATGCTGTTATTGTTGATGATGATGATGATGATGATGATGATGATGATGATGATGAGGATGAGGAGGAGGAGGAGGATGATGAGGCTGATGATGCTGATGATGATGAGGCTGATGATGATGCTGATGATGATGAGGAGGAGGCGGAGGAGGTGGAGGTGGAGGGGGGGGAGGAGGAGGAGGAGAAGGAGGAGGGGGAGGAGGAGGAGGAGGAGGAGGAGCAGGAGGAGGAGGACGAGGAGGAGGAGGAGGAGGAGGAGGAGGAGGAGGAGGAGGAGGATGGGGGAGGAGGAGGAGGAGTGGGAGGAGTAGTAGGAGGAGGAGGTGGAGACGAAAGAAGAAGACGAGGAGGAGGAAGGATTAGCATAATAATGATACTAATAAGGAGAAGGAGAAGAAGCGACGAAGGAAGAACACAACGAGGAGGAGACGACGCAAACGGAGGAGAAGGCCGAGACGGCTGAAGCAGACCTTGGATGGCGATGTGGATGAGTGGGGGTGGGCAGGAGGAGACGAAAGAAGAGGAGGAGACGGAAAAAGAGGATGATGAGGAGGAGACGAACGTAGAGAGAGAGAGAGAGAGAGAGTGTGCGTGAGAGAGAGAGAGAGAGAGAGAGAGAGAGATAGAGAGAGAGAAAGAGGATAGATGGGGCGGAGCACGAAACAGGTATACCGCAGAGCCGCGACACGCCAAGCAACAATTCCTGACTGTACACCGTGCCATGGCCCAGGATGGCCCTGGGCAGGAACGGCTGTGTTGTGTAGGTCCACCCCCCGCGTCGGTCGGCCAGTGCGGGGGGGGGGGGAGAAGCGCACGACGCGAGGCGGCCTGTGGCACTCACAGAAGGAAGAGGCAGGAGGAACAGGTAAGGCAGCCTGCCTCAGCGACCTCTGCGGCCCCTCGACTCGTGCTGGATCGTGCACGATCTGCTCCATGTTTATCGGATTGTAGTTGCTAGGGCATGGGTTCACGCGCTCCGTCTTGGGAGCACGCTCTCTCCTGAATGCTCTGATGCTGGCCGTCTCCCTTTTTACTTTTGGGGAACGACTGAATGTCGACCACTTTTTCAGCTCGTGGGGCGTCCCTCTATTCTCGAGCCTCCGAGCCGTGGCGGCTAGCACGTCCACTTGACTCGGCAGTTTTCCTAGATCTGTAGCGTTGCATCCTTTCGAGTACATTAATGAGACGCGCGCGGCGGTTCTGAAGCGCCACGCGGTGCAGGAGCCGTACCCCAAGGGCCTCGCCTGGGGGACGCCCAAGCACCCCCAATCGAATAGGACTAGTATTGTTAATAACCGGATGCGTACTAAGCATACTAACGCTACTAGTAGCAAGGCTAACAAGCAAGTGCGACTAATATGATTACGAACGAGAATTACAGTTTACATTGTAATACTATGAAGAAGAATAAGAGTAATACAGCGAATGCATTCATTTATATTCGTATTACTACTAAGATTGTTAATGCCACTAAAGCCAACATATAACGTACTATACTAAGATCACGAATGCTGCATCGCTATCGTCCGTAGTTTTAATGTTATAAGTAATAAGGAGAGTGTTACTAGGACTCATAATCGTACTACTACTACTACTACTACTACTACTACTACTACTACTACCGTGATGACTATTGCTTTTATTATTACTACTACTACTACTATTACTACTATTACTACTATTACTACTAGTACTAGTACTAGTACTAGTACTACTAATTGCCATATTCGTGGTACTGGTAACATCAATGTTGCGATTATCCGTTTCATTATTAGCAGTGGCAGGAGTTGTAGTAGTAGTAGTAGTAGTAGTAATAATAATAGTAGTAGTAGTAGTAGTCGTAGTAGCAGTAGTAGTAGTAGTAGTAGTAGTCGTCGTAGTCGTGGTCGTCGTCGTTGTCGTCGTAGTCGTCGGAGTAGTAGTAATAGTAGCACTAGTAAAAGTAATAGCTAAACTATTCGTAGTGATGGTAGCACTACTACTACTGCTGCTGCCGCTACTACTCATACTAAGGGTGAACATAGTATCAGTAGTACCAGTATTGTTAATCATAGCACTACTGCTGTCGTTATTCTTACTACTACTACTACTACTACTACTACTACTACTACTACTACTTCTACCGCAACTACAAAGACGACGACTACTATTATTACGACTACTACTACGACGACTACTACTACTGCTGCTACTACTACTACTACTACTACTAGTATTATTACTACTACTATTGCTGCTACTACTACTACTACTACTACTACTAAATCTATTGATACTACTACTACTGCTACTACTACTCCTACTACTGCTACTACGACTACTACTACGAATACCATTTTTACTACTCCTATTACTACTACTACCACCACCACTACTACTACGGCGACGGCTGCTGCTACTATTACTGCTAGTGCTTTTATTACTTCTGCTACAACTAGTGGTAGTACTAGTAGTAGTAGTAGTAGTAGTAGTAGTAGTAGTAGTAGTAGTAGGCGTAGTAGTAGTAGTAGTAGTCGTCGTCGTCGTCGTCGTCGTAGTAGTAGTAGTAGTAGTAGTAGTAGTAGTAGTCGTAGTACTAATAGTAGTAGTAGTAGTAGTAGTAGTAGTAGTAGTAGTAGTAGTAGTAGTAGTAGTAGTAGTAGTAGTAGTAGTAGTAGTAGTAATCGTAGTTGTAGTTGTAGTTGTAGTTGTAGTAGTAGTAGTAGTAGTAGTAGTAGTAGTAGTAGTAGTAGTACTACTACTACTGCACTGCTACTACTAGGACTACTCTTTCCATACGCAGAGCTTGCCTCTGTAGGGGTCCTAGCGGATTCATATGGTTAGCTGAGCTTTGTCGCCGATTTCCGCGGCCCGCCCAGGTAACCGGGTCCCCGGGTGCTTGATAGCCCTATAGCCCTATAGCATGATAGCTTTATATTTTTATAGTCCTATAGCGCTGTAGCCTTATAGCCCTTTAGCCCCATAGCCCAATACCCTTATAGCCCCATAGCCCAATAGCCCTATAGCCCTATAACCCCATGGCCTTCTAGCCTTATAGCCCTATAGCCCTATCGCTCTAGGGCCCTATAGCCCTATAGTCCAATCGCCCCATGCCCCTATATCCCTACAGCCCTATAGCCCAATAGCCCAATAGCCCTATAGCCATATATAGTGCTATATCCCCATAGCTTAATAGACCTATAGCCCTATAGCCCTATAGCCTTATATTCCTATAGCACTATAGCCCTATAGCCCTATAGCCTTATAGTCTTATAGCACTATAGCCCCATAGCCCCATAGCCCCATGCCCCATAGCTCTATATGCCTATAGCCCTATAGCCCTATAGCCCTATAGCCCGATACCCCGATAGCCTCATAGCCGCATAGCCC